CCGCGGCCCCCAGTGTGCCCACCACCCCTGTTCCCCCCACCCCTGCGCGCCCCCGCGCGCGCACGCACGCACTCACTCGCTCGCTAGCTGCCTTGCACTGCTGGCGGACCCCGAGCCTAGCTGCGATTAGCAGCGCCTGCCGAATGAAGTCACCGCAGCCGCGGGGCCACGGTGCCCCGGGGCAGCGGCTGTGCGCCGGCAGGCAAGCAAGCAGAAGACTGCAGCGAGCTTCGCCAGTCCCAGAGCCTCGCGCACCCGCGGCTCCACCTGATCTCGGCGGGGGCGCTGGGCAGCCCGGAGGAAGAGGCCAGGCGCCCAGTCTGCGGCGCTCTCGGGTGGCCGCTCCCTCCCCCGAGGCCTTGCTCGCGCCGCCCAGCGCTCTGCGGGTATTGTTCGGCTCCGAGGCTGCGGGGTTTAGCCCTCCTGGTCCTCCGAGCTTGGCATTGGCGTCGCGGGAGTAGTAAACTTGCAGCGGCCACGAATTCCCTCAGATGAAGGAAACGGGCGCGTCGCTCCCTCTTTCTTTAAGTTGGGCCGGAGGAGGGGGCGGGGGAAGAGCAGGGGAGGGGGACTGTGGGAGGGGAGAAGGCGAGGAGGGGGAGGGGAGCAGGGTGAGGCTAGGCTGAAAAACAATAACAACAATAAAAAAGTGATCTCTGGTTCTCCTTCTTCCAGCCGATCCGCCCTGGGTGCTAGTCCGGGCGCGAGTGCTCGCACCAACAAGGACAGAGCGTTGTCCTCGGCACAAGCAAATGCCAGGAGGCCAACGCGAGTTCCTCCCTCGCGGCTGTGGCAGGCAGCCTTCGCTGCCGCCTCTGTTTACTTCGGTGGGCGCTGAGGCCGCAGAAGCAGCCTTTTATTTTATTTATTTATTTATTTATTTTTTGTCCCCTTCTTTTCCTCTCCCCTCCCCCGCGTACCCTAGTCTCCCGCCCGGGTATTCCTCCCTCCAGATCCAGGCCGGGCCTCCTGGTCACACCGCCCCTTTAACGGCGGCTCCCGCCCACCCCTCCCTCCTGGAACGGCTATTGGCCACCGTGGCCTCGTCAATCCTGCGCCCCCGCCCTGAGCCCAGCCCTCCCCACCTTCCCTGCGCCTTGCTGGGTCTGTGCGGCCACAGCAGCGGCCGAAAGCACCCGCGGACTGGGCCTTCTCTGCAGCGGCGCTTAGCCTGCACGTCTGGCCCAGTGGCTCCCGGCCCCAGCCGGCTAATACAGGAGCCCAGCTGAGAGCGTAATATGGCCCCAGGCCTAAGAGCCCTGATGCCTTCCGCCGGATCCTGGAGCGGGATTGCACTATGCACCCGCAAACTTTGTTCGAGGGATCAACTCCCCAGGGATCACATCCACTCCCTAACGACACAGAAAAACCCGGGAACCCTAGCCCAAAGCACCCTTGGCTGCAGAGATTAACAATCGAGTCACCAGGCCAGAGTACCCGAGGGAGCGAGGAGACTTTGGGGACAGGGACAGGTCTCTTGCCGCGTCGGCACACTCTGCATTCCCCGTCCTCACCTTGACCAGTTTGCTTTGAGGCGTTGAAACGCGGGTGAAGGACGGTGGACACAGATAAAGTCAAACTTAACTCCGACTCTCTACCCCCTGGACACTAACCTAGACATCACCCTACCCCGGGCAGTGGTCCCCACCTCCACTTGGGCGCACTTAGCTCCCCCACCCCCCGACGCTCGTGTACTGCTCAGATTACAGGAGTAAACCTAGGCAGCAGCCGCCCCAGGGGCAGGGGCAGGGGCAGGGGCAGGGGCGTTGTTTGGAAGTCGTTTAAAGACAGTGTCACCCTCAGGGTGGATGTCCATTGACACGGCCACGTTGGGCTAGGAAGTGGGATGTCCGGAATCAAGCAAGGTTTAGGCCTTAATTTGGCTGTTGATATATCAGGCTCAGGGCCTCGGAAAAATAAACTGTGGGGCTTAAACCTTCTTTACGGTAAATGTCACTCATTCTTCACCCAAGCGCCGCCCTCGACCCCAGGCTGGCTGACCACTAAGGACATCCCACGGCCCTCGGATCGCACTCAAGTGGTAACGGGAGAGGGAATTGCGGGCACAGAGTCTGGGGAAGGACAGCCTGTGGCCAGAGTCTTCCTTCGCCTTTGGCAGGCCTGAGAACTACTTTTATTTATAAATCTCTGGGAACTGAGATAAAATTCGGGCCAGAGAATAAGCACACACTTTGAAATTTTATACTGAAGTGAAATCACCAAAAACGCTGGTGGGATACTCTTGTTCAGAATTGTTGCAGTGAATTGGGATCTCCTGCCTGCTCAGGCAGATTCTCATCCCTTAAGGGGGTCTGGCTCAACTGTTGAAGCCGGCCGCAGCCGCTTCTATAAAGGCTCCCTTCGCTCCCTCAGTGTTCCCGCTTCCCTGCCAAGGGGGAGGGGAGGGACGACCAGGAGAAGGAGGCATCTTGTCTGAAATCATGAGCTTTCCTGGAAGCTGGAGGGAGGAAATAGTCCTCTTTCCACACCATACCCCTACCTCATCTCTCAAAGGGCAGATGCCAAACTGTCCTGCTAGACTGCAGGGGGGAGGAGGGGGAGGGGAAGGGGAAGGGAGGGAGACCATCTAAGCAGAAAGACTTTTTTTTTCTTATTAAAAAAAAAACCTGCCCTTTTTAATCTTTCACATTTGCTTACCTTATTTATCAATTTGTACTGAAAAGTGCATATAACAGTTTGCTCTAAAAATACCACCCTCCCATTTTTTGAACCTAAGATTGGTTGTGAGAATAACAGCCTTACCCATCCAAAGGCCTTATTCCCCTCTTCCGAGCCCCACAGCCGCAGGTTTTCGTTCTCCCCCACTTTCTCACCCCTCCCCACCCTTCCCTCCCTCTTCTTTTTGACCTATTCTCTCCTTTCGCTTTGATTTCTCCTTTGCTGCGCCCGCATTTCAGGACGGCGCGGCTGGGCGCTTGCTCGCGCTGGATTCCAGGGCCGAGCGGTAGGGCAGACGCCTTAATTCCCGCCGGAGAGCTCGCGGGCTGAGCCCTCCTGGCTATTCTTTCCCAGCTCCAGTTCTCCTCTCACTGCAGGAAACAGAGGAGCTGAGCCAAGTTCAAAGTCACGTCTCCATCCCCTCTCAGAAGTATTTTATTTCTCCGCAAACCGAAAAA